CGGCCTGACTCTTTCCGAAAGCCAAATAAACCGACATCACACGTCGCAAGCGTTTCATCCGGATTGTGCATACCTGCAAACCGTGATGAGCGACGCAGCTGAACGTTTGAATAAATGATGACCCGTTTTGTTGTTGTTGTTGTTGTTTTTAAATTCTTTCATTGATCTATGCCATCACCCATGACACAAAGGGCAAGAATAGTTTAGCACCTTTTGTACAACTAATATTATGCTTTTCAAAGGGAAAAATGGCTATAACCTCTAAACTGCTACAAGAGCTCTATTCTCAGTGCATAGAGGGTGTTCAAGTTAGTTGCACAACAAAGTGACGTAGGCTGTCCACGCCAGATTGTTTTTCTTCCTTACAAACCGGTCACGATTTAACTTCCACGATTTTGATTTTAATAAATCATTCCCGCCTGACCCCCCGTCGGGACTGATTTATTAAAATAAAAATTCCCGACCCCCCGTCGGGAATGATTTATTAAAATCAAAATCGCGGAAGTTAAATCGTACGACGTGCAATTGCCCACTGAGGTAAAATTGTCATGTATTTGCGAATTAATAATTTGCCCTTTGTAAACTCTAGCTGATTACGTTGCTTTCATGAGAACGGTAAAACTATTGCTTTTTGTCACAACAGACGCTGTAAATAAACTGTTGATCATAAAAATCCCTTGAAGTGTGACCAATTTAGCAGAAAGTACTTTTAAGCAGATACAATGTACATTAATACATTAAAACGAAGTACCGGAATCATTCGCGGGGGACGTTGACCAAGATGGCCCAAAACAGACAGAGCTGGAGAAGTGGGTGGTTGGCGGGTGATCTGGTGTGGTTTGTTTCTTCTTTCCTATGATTCATCTGTCGTTCTTGTCTCCCTTTCTTCTTTTTTATGTTTGTTACTCTCTTGTAACGCCTCTAATCTTCTGGCGCTCATATGACCTTAAGCAGTTGCGAGCGCCGTAAAACCTCTACTAAAACTAAAAACTAAACTAAGAGCTGGAGATCCCTTGCAGCTGCCCTAAACGCCAGATGGTGTAACGGGTAGCGATTTTTTTAAAGAGTAAAAATACTTCAATGTGACACTGGACTTCAGGAAGTGAACGTTACAGCTGAGAGAGTACGTTTAACGCCAAGTAAGTTAAATCGATGTTTTACTGTAGGCCTATAATATTTATATTATAGATACCGTATAAATACTGTACATAGCCTATAATATGTAGACAAATATTTTTTTTTAAAGCAGTACTTTTAAAGTCAACCCTATAGACCTCATTTGTTGACCACCGATCATTCTGAAATTTTACATTTAAGAAGCCGTCTCGGTCTACGCAGTCGAAAATCAAATACACGGATAGATACTATTTTCGAATTAACAAACACGCATTTTGCATATTTATACATCGACATCATTTTTTTAAAGTTGCAGAGATCGACCACTTCTATGTATATAAATAGACGTCTATGGATCTCTGGGAACCTAAATAATCGCTGCCGCGGTATAGTTTTCGATTTAATTATCACTTTCGGTGTGCAACGGCCGGTTTGCACACTTAAATAGTGTAATCTAATTTGTTTAGAGGTGTGTGTTTGTGTGTGTGTGTGTGTGTGTGTGTGTGTGTGTGTGAGAGAGAGAGAGAGAGAGAGAGAGAGAGAGAGAGAGATGTGTGGGGGTTTTGGTTACCCCCTTCAGAGAATGAGCTTTGTACCTGCCTTGTAGCCAGTACATAATATGAGTACATTTATTTGGTAAAACGTGAAAAAGTCTTGCTGTACAAAATGAAGCCACCGGCAAAATGAATGAAAGTTTTAAACATTCATCATAGATCGTCTTTCCGTATGTATGGAGAATTAATGTGCAATTAATTCACTGAGCTATAGTGTGCATTCAAGCCGTACTGCCTTCAATGGTTTTTAAAAAATTGTTTGCTTGTGTATTCGTGTATTCGTTTGTTTGTTTGTTTGTTTGTTGTTTTGTGTGTGTGTGTGTGGGG